TTTAGTTTATTTCAAGAATATATAAATATTTTAAATAAAAATAAATGCATGTATCATCTAGATAATTTTGATAAAAAAAATATTACATAGAAATTATTCTAATAAACAAAAATTTTTGTTTAAGTAGCTGAATATGTTTCTTGAAATAACAAAATATTGATATATAAATATTTAAATATATCGATATTTTGTTATTTCAAGAAAAGAAACAAATATCGTCCTATCAAATTGTATTGATGGGATGATATTTCTTTAATTGCAATCCCTTTCAAGTTGTTTTTTACACAGCTAACTCACACAAATATGGTAGTTTATAATTATTGAATTACAAATTATTAGACAGGATCCTCACGTACTCATATAAATTTAATTTTCTTTGAAATTTAGAAATGCAATGTAACAAGGTTCTTTTAAGAAGACTTAATAATGTTTATTTACTTGTTACTTAATAATTTCAATATATAAAAATTATAAAATAAAATCAATAATAAAAATATTAAAAAAAAAACATCTATAAGAATAAAAACACAAAATAAATGGACTTTTTTATTTAAAATGTAAAGAATTAGATATTTTCATATATAGGCTAATTTATAAATCATATATTTATTTAAAACAAATAAGAATAGCAAATCTAATTTGTTTTAAATGGAATCTAACCATTATTTCCAGAATCACAGTTTGCATCAATAACCAGAAAACAATTATCTACATATGGAGCTACTAATCATTATTAAAACCATTTTAGTTTTTTCTTTATATTACAAAATCTACAGTCTTGTCATCACATAGCTACAGATAAAATATACAGATAAGTTTTTACAGTAAACAACTTAAGAATAAGCAATTAAAGTTTCAACAGTTTATTTTATTAGAGATCAGTTTAAAACTAACGAAATGTTCCTCTTTTGTTTCTACTGCAGCTAATGAATGAAAAACAACTGATTTATTTCCACTTTTATATGAACTCTTTTATTAGATGAGAGGGATATTTTTTTCAACCTCTCATGTTTCAGGAAAAAAATATGAATAGTGAAAAACAAAACTTTTATTTACAAAAGTTAGATACATTTTCCAGCTACTTTTCTACATAATTGCTATTTCAATTTAAGCATTTATCGTACTGTGACACCAGCTTTTCTATATCTCATTAAAAGAAGGTCCCACCTGGTTATTCAGCCAACCTTTCACAGTAGCCTTCAACTCCATGTTAGTTTGGAATTATCTACCTTTCTAACCACTGCTTCATATAAGTGAACTGATGGAAATCACTTGGTGCTAAGTCTGGGTTGTACTACAAATAGTCAAACACTTCCCATTTCAACTTCAGGAGGAGTTTTCATCCCAGTACATGACCATCACTACAACCATGTACTGTAAGACTCTTCAACTACAACAGGCAATACAAAAAACAAAAGAAGGAATGATGTCATTGAGAGTTGTCCTCATACCTTACACAGAAAGCTAGAACTTCTTTAAATAAGTTTCACAAAACCTTTCACTCTTTTTCTAGCAGTTTCTTAATCCGTAAGAGAACAAATGTTTTCAGCCACTTTAAATGATCATGTTCAGGTTCTATAACATTGGAACATCAGTTAACAAATATTTGAATGATGTCATTGTTTACAAAAGTTTCTTCTTTCTTATGACATCATTGTTTTTAACAAAAATTAGACTCTTACGGATTAAGAAACTGCTAGAAAAAGAGTGAAATGTTTTGTGAAACTTAGCTTGTCTTCATACTACAGACACAGATATTTCTCCAGAAGTTCAAGTGGAAGTGTTTGATTATCTGCCATATTGTCCAGATTTAGCACAGGTGATTTATATCTGTTCACTCACATAAAACAATGGTTCTGAACTAACATGAAGTTGAAGGGTTGATTAAATGACCAGACAGCAACTTTCTTTGATGATATAGAAAAGCTGGTACCACAGTATGATACATGCCTAAATTGAAACAGCAATTACATAGAAAAGTAGCTGAAAAGTGTATCTAACTTTTGTAAATAAAAGTTTTGTTTTTCACTATTCGTATTTTTTTCCTGACACATGAGAAGTTGAAAAAAAATACTCTTCATAATTAACTTTTTTCTTTCATCTACCATATTTATAATAATAAAAACAAGAAACATTTTTATTTGTCAAAAAAAAAATATTGGTTTATTTTACTTGATATTTTCATAGCACATAGTCTACCTCCTATTTTTTTGTTCACACAAACATTGCACCAGTCTATATCTAGCATCTGCTACATATTGCATAGGTATTGGTAGTGGACTATCCAATGGTTTAGATAGTATGCACCTTAGCCCCTTCACTAACGTTTTCTTTATGTTGAGTACTATGTTACATATCACATGGTGCAAATACTATCTTCCGTCTTATGAAAGATAAAAGCATCGTTTAAATTACAAAGTTGTAGTACATCTCAAGTACAAAATGGTTTTTACCTGATTAAAATACTCAAAGGGGAAGAGACTTGACAGTGTCAAAAGTGGCAAAACCATAGCTTAGCCTTGCACATTCAAAGACATGCAGAGAAGCCTCATTTTGTCTCGCCACTCATTTTTTTTGGATGCTGTCAAGCCTCTTTCTCTTTGAATATTTTAACCAGACAAAAGCATTTTGTACTTATCTTGAGGTGTTCTATATTTGGTTAAAGTGTTCATGCACTTTAAAGAACTATCTTTTAATTAATCACATATACAGTTGCAGCATGGTGGCTTTTATGAAATTTGCTTGCAATAGAATTAAAACAACAGTGATATATCCACAACTTTGACTAACAATGAATACACAGTTTTCTTTATGTCGCATACCACTAAAAAGTGCCAAAGTAACGCAATGAATAAAAATACTACATTGTTTAAGAAAGATATTAAAGATAAGATTTAGGAATGCCTATTTTTAATATAATACAAATAAGATATAATATCATACGTTAAAAATATAAAATTTACGTCAAATTATACTTCTAATTTCTTATTTTCAAAATAAATGCTTTTCTAAAAATTCTAATCTAAGTAATTCTTTAAACAATGAACAACGATTATTACTTTTAATAAAAAAACATATAGATACAAATTAAAACAAAGATAAGAATTTGATAAAAACATTCAAAGTTCTTTTTTAAAATTAGTTCAAATCATCATCATTTATAAAAATTTATCAAATATAATTCAGAATTTTTTCTTACTGTTATTTTTTATATAATTTTGTAATTCATATATAATATCATATTTGTAAATTATACTAAAATTATACTACATAAAACAACTATTTTCATTAAATTCATAAATTACTTGGATTATTATTACACGAATATTATCTATAAAATATAATTACAGTACTAGTTTTCTTGTTTGCTCGATGTACATTCAATTATTTGATTTTATACTTGTATCTACATTAATCAAATGATTGAATATACGAACGTGTATTAATTTTTATTTAATAATCAGAAATTCAGTAACCGAATAATATCCGAAAATTTGTTACTTTTATAAATTGACGAAAATGGTTCGGTTTGACAAGATACGGCAGCACTTGGGCAATATTCAAAGAAGGCTTTTACGAGAAAATGGTCCCTATTTAGGTGTTAGAGACACGAAAAAAACCTCGAAAACTCCATTGATCAAGTGCAAACCCGCGACCGACTTACCATTGTTTAACGACGGGCTCGATAACAACGATTTCCATTATTTATTTCATTTGTGTATATTATAAATAGTACGAATCGTTAAAATATGTATAACTAAATAAACTTTTAATGCTTTTGTGAATGAATGCAAACTTCTTCCATCCTATAAAATGTCATCTACAGCTGTCAAATTACATAAATAAAATGTGGTTCAATATATTTTGTTGCCCTACATAAATACATTTTGTGAGATTTGATATATTTTTATATAAATATAAATTCATTATAAATACATTGACACAGCTTTTATGATTAATGTATTAAATACAAAGCTTCTGTATTATGATTACAATACAAAGTAGAAGTGAGTTTTAGGTAATTTGTTTAAAATAAATACATTTATACAATATATGAAGTGGCACCGCCAGGGGGATATTTTAACCCTTATAACCTAAAGTAACTTTCACTCAATACAACACCTTATAAATCTTACGAAATCAAATATTAAATGTAAAACTCACCTAAAAAATGTTATTACAAATGCCGATATGTGATATCGCGTGCACGAAGAGGTAGATTTTTTCGGTTTTGACGTATTATTTCTGTAATTATTAGTAATTTCACTGTCTTCGTATAAAACATCATCGTCTCCTGTCGCTGACATGTTTCCAACTACCACGTGATCAAACAATCCTGAAAATCCGAAGCCTCCTGGTGGCAGAAATTAACAAATGTTCCATCTGATCGATCCTAAACAGAATTTATTACCGCGTTGCGATTACTCGAAAGTAAAATGTTCGTTTAAGCGTAAAATAAGGGCGTTTACTTTATTTTAAATATTTTTAATTTTATTAATAAGTGTAAAATATTTAAATAACTCCAATTTCTTATTAGAACGAGTTAAAAAAAATCTCTATCTGGTTACAAATTATATATCGATTTTCGATATTTATGTGATAAGCGGCTATATATAACATACGACCCTTTTGTTAAATAGCAAAATATTATCGATAGAGCTATAATGGACAGCGGGTATAATAAATTCCGAGAATTGTCATAAAGATATAATATAAAAAACGCACGATAAATCTCAAAATATGTTTCAATAAGCAAGCTTAATTATAAAATTAAAGAGCGGCACTAATCTATCGCTTGTTTCAGATGAAATATAAAAATAATTATTAATACTCGAGTGTTGTAAACAGGTTAAATGTCGTTAATAATATTTATTGTTGAAATTTATCGAGACAAGAAATTAATTACGATAATTATAAATTAAAAAAATGCATGTATAGATGAATAGTATTGTTTTTATATATAATGGTTTAATGCTTATATCCTATAGAAAAAAAAACAAAAGAAAGTTATTTTAATTGTAAATTATAAAATTATATAATTGTTTAATATTAGTCACCTATGCCAATGTGCAGCGGTATGAATTTAATTTCGCTGTATTTTATAATTATCCGAACATAAAGTCCAATACGTTGCTGTAACTTTGTAGATAACGTTTTACGATAGCTTTAATATTAAAAAGTAGATAATTTAAATTAATAAAAAGTAAAATTTAATTTTAATACAGTAGAGAGATTGCGGCCGAAGTTTTCAACGCGAAAACGTGTACATCGGACGTTCAGTTCCGCCTTCCTGTAAACCTAGAAGTTTGGAACGTCGAGCATGATTCCACTGACGTTCCAAACGCCATTATTAAACTTTTAGCCAAACTTTAGCGATTTTCCAAACGCCAACATTAAACTTCTAAGCTTATACAAAGGCGGCACTGAACGTCCGACGTACACGTTTTCGCGTTGAAAACGTCGGCCGCAACGTCTCTTGTATCTAAATACGTGTTTACTTTCGACGTTCTTAGAAAAACAGGCCTTAAGTTGAGTTTGACCTTCATTTTCGGTCGTCTTTCCATCAGGACAAGGAGTACAATCCCCTCTTCCAAAATACATCTGATAAGTTCCTTTAGGGCAAGGTTTATTTTCATTTTTAATGCAATATCGTCCAGGATAACATGGAACTGAAAGTTAAAATTGTTATTTTCAGTTTATCTCTTACTTTTTTCCCCTTTTTTTTAATATCTATAATACATATATACTTCGTAACATCGCTATTATCTTGTTGTAATGTGATACATTCCGACTTATCCATCAATCATTGCCGAGATATAATAATGATTAGATTAAGAATTTTTGATACCATTTTTAAAAAAAAAATACCGCTTTAATTTAAATTATTATTCATTAGAAAAATAGAAATAAAAACAGAATTTAAGATCTACTTACTGCAATGATTAGGTTCTACAAAGTGAAATCCTGAATCACAATGGAGAAAACTTTGCCCTCTAATACTCTCACTAACTAAGTATCTCCTGATAATGATGTCATCATTAATTAATACGCCTATTTCTTGATAAAATCTAGTAGCGATCTACAATAGAAATGTATAGATTAAATGAAGAATACACTGATAATAAGTATAGATTAATTGATTAGATATCGAATAAATCTCTGGAATTTGAAACGTGCGAGTTAATCTTTAATGAATTATTTAAATATAACTGCATTAAAAATTATGTATAATATAGAAAAAAGCTGGCAGGGAATCTTATACAACTATTTTCCTCGTTTTTATTTAAAGTTTTCTTGCAAAATTTTGCCAAAATTGGAGTTGCTGGGTGGTGAGGATGGTCGGTCGGACTCTCTCCCTCACCACCAAGCAACCCCAATGTGGGTCTGGCCGAACCCATAATGGAATTACTTAAAATGGCCCATTTAAAGAGCGGAGAGAGCTTTAAACCACAAGAGCACCACCAAGCAACCCCAAGGTCTGGCCGAACGAGCGGAGAGAGCCTTAACAGCACCAAGAGCCTTAAGAGCACCAAGAGCACCACCAAGCAACCCCAAGGTCTGGCCGAACCCATAATGGAATTACTAAAAATGGCCCATTTAAAGAGCGGAGAGAGTTTTAAAAAGTAATAATTGATAAAACTTACACTTTTCATTTCATTCTTTTGGAGTTTTAGAAGACATAAATCTTTACATTTATTTGAAGAACGAAGAGTAGATTTAACATCGATAGATATATAACAAATTTCGCTTTCCTATAGATTTAAATAAGAATAAATAAATTTCATTAGAAAGGTTGCGGTTNTACCCATTTTAAAAAAAAAATACCGCTTTAATTTAAATTATTATTCATTAGAAAAATAGAAATAAAAACAGAATTTAAGATCTACTTACTGCAATGATTAGGTTCTACAAAGTGAAATCCTGAATCACAATGGAGAAAACTTTGCCCTCTAATACTCTCACTAACTAAGTATCTCCTGATAATGATGTCATCATTAATTAATACGCCTATTTCTTGATAAAATCTAGTAGCGATCTACAATAGAAATATATAGATTAAATGAAGAATACACTGATAATAAGTATAGATTAATTGATTTGATATCGAATAAATCTCTGGAATTTGAAACGTGCGAGTTAATCTTTAATGAATTATTTAAATATAACTGCATTAAAAATTATGTATAATATAGAAAAAAGCTGGCAGGGAATCTTATACAACTATTTTCCTCGTTTTTATTTAAAGTTTTCTTGCAAAATTTTGCCAAAATTGGAGTTGCTGGGTGGTGAGGATGGTCGGTCGGACTCTCTCCCTCACCACCAAGCAACCCCAATGTGGGTCTGGCCGAACCCATAATGGAATTACTTAAAATGGCCCATTTAAAGAGCGGAGAGAGCTTTAAACCACAAGAGCACCACCAAGCAACCCCAAGGTCTGGCCGAACGAGCGGAGAGAGCCTTAACAGCACCAAGAGCCTTAAGAGCACCAAGAGCACCACCAAGCAACCCCAAGGTCTGGCCGAACCCATAATGGAATTACTAAAAATGGCCCATTTAAAGAGCGGAGAGAGTTTTAAAAAGTAATAATTGATAAAACTTACACTTTTCATTTCATTCTTTTGGAGTTTTAGAAGACATAAATCTTTACATTTATTTGAAGAACGAAGAGTAGATTTAACATCGATAGATATATAACAAATTTCGCTTTCCTATAGATTTAAATAAGAATAAATAAATTTCATTAGAAAGGTTGCGGTTGAAGTTTTCGTAAACGTCGAACGTCGAGCGTAGCTTACGAGATAGCGGCGCTCGACGTTCGACGTTCACGTTTGAGAGATGAAAACTTCGGCGGTAATCTCGCTATTATTTAAAGATTTATATTACGTAAATTAAAATATTAATTTAAATCAAGTATTTATTTTCTAAATACTGTCGAACCTGTAGATAACAATTGAATGTACAGTATATAAAATTTGTTAAAAGCATTCTTTTTAAAATTAACTAAAAATGGTTTGCATTAATATTCATTTTTATAAATTTAAATAAAATCATTAATATTCATTAATATAATTCATCAATAGAATAAAATTTAATACAGCTGTGACACATTAAAAGTTCATTATTATTTGAATGTACTGTATTATTGTGTTCAGCTCCTTCCAACATCTGTACTATATCAAAGGACCAAATTTTTAGTAAGTAAATATCATATATATCTTGTTTTATTGCTCTGTTATTCCTATTATTTAGAGATAGACATAGGAATAAAAATGGGATTAATTTTTAAAATTATCAATAGAATAAAATTTAATACAGCTGTGACACATTAAAAGTTCATTATTATTTGAATGTACTGTATTATTGTGTTCAGCTCCTTCCAACATCTGTACTATATCAAAGGACCAAATTTTTAGTAACTAAATATCATATATATCTTGTTTTATTGCTCTGAATTATTCCTATTATTTAGAGATAGACATAGGAATAAAAATAGAGATAGACATAGGATTAATTTTTAAAATTATTTATATATTGACCTATAAATTAGCTATATTACATTCGAAGATCTATAAAATGTTTCTATTTAAAATTTTATTTTATTTTTTAAGGGATAAAAACAAGAGAAATCCCAGACGTATGGGTTACTCTATATACCATTTTCCTGTCATCATCATAATTGCATCCGTGAATTTTTATAAATTCCGCCTTGCATTTTCTATTATGACAAAGTTTTGTCCAAAGTTCATTTATTTTTCTTTTTATATACTCTAAATCTTCCTCAGGTATGATAGTTTTCCTGATATTCTCGCTACTATCATACATATCCACTTCATAACGATCGTAAGGTGTGACCAAATCATACACTAAAATAAAATATACAAAAATATATATATATTATTAGAGAGGTTGCGGCCGAAGTTTTCATTTTTATAACGTGAACGTCGAACGTCGAGCGCCGCTTACGAAATAACGGCACTCGACGTTCGACGTTCACGTTTGAGAGATGAAAACTTCGGCCCCAACCTCTCTATTATTTATATATATATATATACATAAATAGATAAATTTCAACGAACGTACCAATAATTCTATGATAAAAAGAATTAATTTCTCGCGTATTATTCTTTATGGTACATTTATAATATCCCGTATCTGATACTTGAACGTTACGTATTCGTATGGTTCCTCTTTTCGAATCCACGTCAATTCTAGGTTCTAAAAGAGTCATATTTGCATTGTCTGTCCATTCGTAACTAATTTGCTTCTCGTTTCCCGAAATATAAAGTGGATATTTAACTATAGGAGTGATACAATTGAAAATTATATTCTGTCCTTTAAGTACTCCTCGATGTTTAGAAAGGAAATTTTGTGTTTCCATTTCTAAAAAAAATTATTAAATAATAAATATAAATACTTTATAAATATGTAAATTTATATTTTAAAATAGCAACTTACTGGCGTTAGAAGTTTGCAGAAAGAAGAGAAAAACGTATAGAAACATTTCTAAGCATTAAACTAGAAAAATATATATATTTAAATTAGTTAAATTTACATATCTATTAGAATATTGATTACCTTTACATATTTATTAAATATTTATTTATGAAGATATGAAATTAAATTGTAACAGGAGTGAAATACTCACATTAAATTCAATTTTTTTAAATAATAAAATGAACGTTAAGGAATAAGTATTTCTGTTTTTATAGGGAAAATTCATTAATTTTCTTCTGTCTTCTATTTTTAAAATTTCGAACTTTTATCTTTTTAAAATCTTCATTACGTCAGATAAGAATTAGTTAAAATTAAATGACAGTAAAAATATATTTAAAATGTCTTTAAAGATATAATAAATAAGTAGTTGATATCTGTATATGTATGTAGCGAATGCCAAGTTTACAGCAGTATGTTACTTGTATGCTGTTATAGAGGAATACTGGCATGCTTTCAATGCCACAGGCATAACTATGTGCGAAGTATAGTTGTGTGAGTCGGGTAAGTAAAAGATTAGCCTATAGTTATGTTTCAGACATTACTGCACTCCATGAAATTCAAATAGTATCGCTAATATTCTACAAAAGGGCTCTTAAAAGTTCATTATATTCAGAGTTTTCTGTATACGTGTTTCTTGAAGATCTTCCATCGTCAAGCGTGTGATCATCTATCTAATCATGAAACAAGCGGGAACAGTTGTAATGGCGTCTTTGTCCGTCGATTGAAAGAGCCTAACTACAAAATTCCATCTCTTCCCGTACCATCGCAATGATACGGGAAGAGATAGGGTTTTGTAGTGAGGGGGTTTTGCTTGCCAATGCATCGGTGGCACTAGCAAATTCGCATGAAAGACAATTGCTACGCGTCCTGCATTTATCATTTCAACAGAAGACCTGATGGCAGCGTATCACTCGGGGGAATCCGGGATCAAATCCAGACGGATCGAAAACCCCAGGAATTTTTCGGGAGTGGTCCGTTTCGTATACGTCGGACCCTGTCCCTCACCGCCGTGCCGCTCCATTGTGGGCTTGGACGAATCTCTAATGGATTTGCTAAAAATAAGGATTTCTTAGCGCCCACAGGGTTGAAAAAGTTTTTAAAAATACTACATCATCGGCTTTCTCTGCAGTAGTACAGTGACAGAGAAGCATGAATTGTCTCTACTGTTTCGTACCATTAAGTCGGAAGCAAGCCAGACTTAATGGTACGAAGCACTGTAAAGTACCCGTACAATATAATACACTGTATACTGTACCTGTATTCCACTATATCCGAAAGTATCGTTGTATTTACAAGATAAGAGGTTGTACCAAGTACTAAAGGTTCCTTTAGTTTCTCATCTTTTATTTACGTTGGTAGATCCTATTAAGTAATTTGGCTTCATTTATATAAACAAAAACGACAACATTTTAGTGGTTAATACCGTATTAAACTATTGTTTCGATCTCTTCACAACGTACTGCCATCTAGTAATATTAATATAAACCTATAATGTTTATTAAATTAAGAACTTTATCGTATTGAATATTCAAATTACTGTTTTGTAATAATAAAAAAAAAGATATCAACAGCAAGCAAAACTTTTTAATTCATATACACACAATCATTATACAACAAAGAACATCATAGAATTAATCTCATCCCAAGGGAAAAGAAGGATTTTCAGAGAATTCTAGTAAGAAGGGAAAAATAGGAAGGAAGAGGATTGCCATTCTGTTTTCTTTCTCCAATTCTTATGACATCACATAACATTTTATCTCTACATTTGGCAACAGTTAACTATTCTTTTCTGGCATATTCCGTGCTGCCAGTAATATTTATCACTTCTTTTTCCTAATAATTCGTGAGTCACACGAAGATATTAACTTCAAAAAAACAAAAAGGAATGTACAAACATTTATTTCAAATCAGTTTTCTTTTCTTCATTTAGAGTTGTATCCGCGTATTGTTCACACAAACTACTTTCGGACATATCTGATTGCATACGAGAATAATATCTGACGTGTTGAGTCATTAAACCCATATCCTCTCCTTCGGCTGTTTTCTTACTTGGAATACACGAATTCAAGAATCCTAATATACCCGGTGATGCTAGAATACATTAAAAATACATATATAAGTTATCTTTATATTTATATATATCAGAAATTTTTAAATATCGTATCTTACCTGCGTATCTTACTACGCTGTGACCGGCAACCCATAGGGCTATATAAACAATGAGAGATAGGAAACACAATACCGTTCCCGTCACCAAAAACGTAATAGGTCCCGTTCGCTCAAACTCCTAAAATAATTTAAAAAAAACCTTTAAATATTTATCGTTAAATCTATATATATTATTAATACATATAACAGTGGATCGTGTGGGTTTTCTTTACGTGTCTACTCCTAAAAAAGGGGACCAGTTTTCCCCATTAGAAAGTACAAATATAGAAAATAACGTTAATTTCCTTTATTTACGTTCGAAAGAAGCTTCTTTTATATAACGAATTATTTCAAAAATAATGATAAAAATAGTAATTTATTGTAAGGATATACGTGAGACATTTTATAGTAAGAACAGAAGTATTTTAATAATATAATAATATAAATTTAAGTCGATACATATGTGAATAAGTACGCCCATTTCTGATTTGATCTTAATTAGATAAGTGCAAAAATATGTCCAGTTCAAAATCAAAATAATAATAATAATAAAATTACCTACTCAACACGATTAATAACATCCTCCTTATATTGCATTTTCTATTCATTTTATATAAAGCACTCAAAAATGTACGTTTTGCAACTAAAACGTTTTAGAATTTCCCGATAAAAATAAAAATATACGTACTTAAAAGTGCCGTGAATGGATAACTTTAGTTGTTTTCGATCGATATATATATATATTTTTTTTCAACCATATTAAAACACGAGAGAGTCAATTTATGGTATACGACGTGTATAATTTTTCGTAGGAAATTTTTTTTTCTATTCGATTATTAATGCGATAACAAACAAGATACTTACATGTCCTAGAATAACAGGCATTGACATTTCTCCCAGAGCTGCTCCAAACACTAGAAAGCTGGTAATGGTAGCTAAAAATGGAATACATTGTTTACTTTCTGTCATAACTCGATTATAATCCATAGAATACACAAAAAACAACACGTACGTGTCACATGTATATACTGTTCGGTCAAAGAAAGAGCTGTCGGAAAAACACTACTCATAAATATACCCAATATACAAGTACCAATTATTAATACTGTCTGGTTGTGTGACATTAGTAGCATCAATATCATTCCAAAGATACAACCACTCTGAAGGAAGAAAATAATAATAATAATTATAATTTAAACAGAGATTAAACCCTGTATATTTGATTAAAAATTATACTTACTATATTACAAAATAGCATAAATGATGGTGCTAATTTTGTTGCCAATGCTATAGAAATTAAACGACCAGTTGCGAACATTCCCTAGAAATAAATATTATAAATAATTAAATGTATTCTTCTTCTCTTTTCAATACATTTAAACTGTTTATAAAGGTAAAGAAAATAAAGAACTTACCCAAAAAAGAGCATTAAGGTAAGCGGCATCGGATCTTTTTAATCTAACTGGTCCTTTTACAGCATACGAGTAAACGTATCCTCCGTAAGCAGCCTAAAAATAAAACGTCATTAACAAGCTTTTAAACTGTTAAGTAGTAAGTTTATTATATATTCGTGTTAATAATTACTTGTAATCCATCATAGAGAAACATGAGAGCTGCGCATAGTAATGAGATTAATATGGTTTGGAATGTGGTAGCTGGAGGTACGTTGTCACCACGTTCTTCTGTAGCCGATGTTTCTGCATGATTTTAAATATTTTTACATAAATTATATATCTATTATTGCATTTTATTAAAGTATTTTTTCTTATTTATTTATTTTATTTATTTTAAATATTAAATATGAACTAGCAAAACGAATAGTCTCACCTGTATCTGTACTTTCATACTGACCCTGTTTATTTTGGTTAAAGTCTCCACCTCCGAAATAACGACCGTATAATTCTCTCCCCACTAAAGACATGGTTAGAAGTACGACAGGTACCTTAAAATATATATATAGAAAATAAATTTTAAAATTATTTAAAAGACTAGAAGATATATACAGTAGACCCCCATATAACGCGGTAGATACGTTACTCGTTATGCGAATTTCGCGTTGTAGGAACCCGCGTTATAGGGGGGTCTACTGTATTAATTAAGGGTTTCTATTAAGGGTCTACAAACCATTAATAGAGCCATAATCCAGAAGGCATAGTCGATATGCGTCCTGGCTTGAGCTTCTTTTAGAGTTGCGGCAGGCAGGATTTCATTTTCATCAAAATTGTGTACAGTTTCTGAGCTATTATCAATAAAGGGAGAACAGTCTTCATTTAAAAGAAACGGCTGTGCGATCATAGGGCTAACAAAAGCCCCAACACCATAGAAAAAATGTAATGCCTGTAATTATACACGAATAATATTTAACAATGGATTATTATATTCTCGAAGAAGTATCGTTTAAAGATTACCTGTAGAAACGGCGATACATCTTTACCATAGATTCTTATCATGGAAACGTTGGCCACCGTATCTATGGTTCCCATGAAATATCCCATAACGGCCAAGACAAAGGCTAGAGCGCCTAAGATCCGACATAAAGGGATTAAGGACATGGTGACGGTCATCATGATAGTACCCACCAGAAGCAAAACATTGGGAGTAAACCTAGAGAAAATATTAAATAGTAGAGAACTTTTAATGTCGAAAAAGATTGTCCCGTAAGCCACCATTACCCCAGTTTGCTGTCAGCAAATGTAATATTGACGTCAGTCGATCCATATTATCTGTCACACTTCACCACTTCTCAGTCCATTAAATCGCTTGTTCTTTGTTAAGTCTGAGAGTCAAAAAATTCTTTTTTTTTTTTGGCTCTCTTTCTTATCAAATTTTTCCCTTTCTTTCTTAAACAAAAACTCGATTAATTCAAACTTCGAACAGACTAATGGTCTATATAAGTTACTGCTTAAACTATTGAATATAATTTTGTAATTTAAAGAATTTTAACGAATTAAAAATCACGTCGTAAAATAAAAAAAAATATATATATATATAAGATCCAATGACGGTGCTTGAAACAAAATGTCACGTATGCCACAGTATCCTTCTCAATATGGAAAAGTCATGTCGAGTAATCTTCTTATTCCCAATGGATTGAGACGTGATCAATTCTCTAAAGATTTTTTTAAAGGAATTTTTGAATCTTTCTAAAAATATTTCCTTTTATTTTAAAAAAAAGTCTAAATATATATATAAAATCATATTTTTTTTAACGGTAAAGAAGCTTACAAGAGCATTTAAATTTGCATGGTTTAACATTGGTATAGATCGAATTTCATCGCATTGTTTACAGTTATTATTAAGATGGTTGCTTCTATTATAACGTGGAATGGTATTATTATTATTATTATTATTTCCCCATCTTCTACTTTATTAATGCAATAATACAGTCTTTCTCCTCGACTTATTGACAAATGACAGAGTCGCTGCGATTGTCTAAAGGGAAGGACGGCTTGCCAAATGAGTTCCATTTATCAAATCACGACGGATGTTACTTTTTATCTGTAGGAGGATGTTGCCATAGTAACATTTTTTCAATGTAAAAGCATTTTTTTTTTTTTTTTTTTTGTATTGCAAGATTCTAGAGGAATCTTTTGGTTAGGATGTAATTCCAGTACGATTATATAAATCGATTACGGTACCATAGAAATAAGACTTTTTAATCAGAAAGAATATAAATTGCTAAGGTTGTTCTTCTTATTGCCAAAATAAAGAACATTTTCTTAAGTATTCTATCATAAATCTTTTATTATTATTATTATAAACAATCAGTGCCTTCGGGTTTTCCTACAAAATCCTCGAAATCTCTTCGTGTATTTAATTATAGTTAATAAAATTATTATATAAAAGGACCCCCAATCTTCTGTGTCCTAACGTCACGATACTACAATCTACACAATATAATATTAAAGGGGGGGGGAAAAAAAGATTTAAAATTATGTAAATTTAATAATTTAGTAAGGCAATAATTGATGATAAAAATGCATCATTATGGAAACTAATTTGATTCTAATTATATTTTAAATTCATCAAAAATTTTAGCGTATCTTCGAAAGGATCTGTTTTATTTTTCCTTTAATATTCACATAAAAATGTATGGATTTTTTAAAATAAAAATACGAGCAACGAATAGAAACAAAGTAAAATCTGTTTAAATACACGAAGTAAAGCCATACTTGTCAGTTTGTATTTTCAAATAAATCAATCAAATATATAAAGGATAAAGATTGAAACATCATCTTTCATTTTATGAACGTGTAGTAAAGCTATAAGAAATGAAATCATTTATATATATATATACCAGTCAACCCCCCCTATAACACTGTTGATTATTCCATTTTATACGAATTCCATGTTGTACGAGTCACTTAAATTTTACAAATACGTGTGCCGGGCTGAGAACGGCTCACGTATTTATAAAATCTAAGTGACTCGTACAACATGGAATTCGTATAAAACGGAATAATCAACAGTGTTGTAGGGGGGGGTCGACTGTATATTCATTACATTGAAATCAATAATAATAATAAAAAACACAAGATATTTTCACTTCTGGAATTAGTTTTGTTGCATTAATCCTTTAAAAGTAACCCCTCTTAAGGACTTTTTTTTTTAATTAATCTTCTTAAGTGTCTGCTTATTTATACAGTCAAACAACTTAAAGAAATAACTTGCATCTTCATTGATTTTTTTTTTTATTATTTACAGCTTTAAAATCTTACTACGTTTATGTTTAACGATAACTCAAATATACGACATTTATGTTATGACTTCTTTGCTTTTGATTTATGATAGTTGGAGGTGAAGAAAAATCCGCATCTTTCAATAATAAATTCACTCATTTTTTATTTATGAGTTAAGATAAAGTCACTATTTTGTTATTTTTTCGTGTTAGAAATTATAAAATGGTAAATACTAACTCGAAGCGTGAAGTAAATACTATACCAGACTTTAAAAAAATGTTATAATCTAATTAAATATTAGGCATTTTTTTTAAATAAAAAATTACTATTATATTCTTTAGAATAAAGTATACAAATCAAATACATTATTATGATATATATATTTTTTTTTTAATGAGAAACTGAAAGATATGTTGTATCTAAAGTATTGGATAATAATATGTTAATAATAATCATGTAACATCACTTCGGGAGAGTGAATAAAAGGAAAATAAAAGAAAAATAATGTGGGATACTCAACTGTTCTATCAGAAAACCACAAAAGTAAGTTGTTTGAAAGACTTTAAGCTGGGAAGATGGGGATTTGATCTTTCTTTCGAGGGAAAAAAATTCTCTGGAAATAGCATCTACCTACTGTGGAACTGAAGAATTCTTAATCCTTTCAATAAAAGATTGGATGCTCAAAAAACGTTTGGTTTTGTCACTTTTTTAGATATTTATATAAACAACTTTTAACGGTTTCTCTTGTTTTTTAACAAAGAAAAATTCATGTTCCTCCTTATCCTAATGCTTAATCTTAGTTCGAAATTAAGGATAAACTGTAAAGAGGATAACTAGATAAATTTTTTATCAATCTTTTAAAAAATATATATTGTTTTACGTCAATTAAGATTACTAACGATACCATAATCATTAAAAAAAGAGTGAAGATCTAATGCATAATTGATAAAGAGAAGTCTATACGTAAGTAATAATAAAGAGGACTTTCTGAGGATATTAGTAACTTATATAGGCTTAAATTTTGTAATATTTACATTGGATATTGATTGAACAATGTAAAGATCAGAAGTTTATGTAGAAAGGATAGGATGAAAATAATCAATACTCCATGGTAGACTATAAAGGCATCTTTTTCAGGAACAGGAGAAAATTATTATTAAAGTTTTTCAATGAAATAATATTCATTAATCCTACGAAGAAATAATCGATAATATTTACAATCTTTTCATTTTTAAAGCTGAAGAAGATCCTGTAAAAGAATTCTCACGAAAGAACCGAAACCTGTATGGAGAAGTAATCAAGCATGCTATACAAGCTTTACCATAATATCAAGCTACGAACGATACCATAAATGCTAGACAAGTTTATTATATAGATTTTTAACCACGTAATCTTATTTTATTCGTAAAATACATCAATTAAACAACCGAATTTATATATATAGATCTTTCATTGAGGTAGAGAAGAGAACAGATAAGTTTCAAAAGATCCGATAAAATTGTCGATATTTCTCATTCTCAATCGATATATATAAGGGAAATCGATTTAATTGAATAATAAAAATCTTAAATAGAGAGTAAGAGGAAGGAGGAGGAGGAGGAGGAGGATGTATTGCAATTGTTAACGCGTGTTAATTTTTTAAACACTCGAGCGGATTGAAAATGAAAATTTTATAATGTTATTCTTTTTGTTTATGATGAACTGTAATCAGAAAATGCTTAGCAAAAGTCAACTAGTTATCTCTACAATTCCATCTATTGATTGGTTTCTGTGTACACAGATCGATATAAGGCGAGCAGCGACACATACGAATGGAAATCTTAACAATCACACCGTTTGGAAAACCGAAAGGAAAAAACAAGATTTCGTTTTTTTAGAGGAGTGTTATGTGACTTTATCACCTTTATAACCCTTGCTAAGTTATGCCAATGGTTTAGTATATAATTTTCGTTTAACTATGCCAATTTTTCGGAGAATTTCTAGCGTGTTGGATAAAACACGAGTCGCTAATTAATATAATATAGAGATATACGAAAGTTATAAATATAGATAACTTGGTTGAAAGGACAAATATGACTTTCCTTTATACTTCGATTGCTTAATGATAATGGTGAGGTTGATAGAGCTCAATGGAATTGTAACCCCCGATGGAAATTAGCATCGATTGAGCCTAATATTATGTCTCTGTGGCTTACTAGTCAATATTTCATCGTATTTTCTTCGTCCATATTTATTTAGTTAGTTCGTATTAGCTGGTTAACGAGTTTAAAACGCAAAAAACTAAGAAAATTTTCCTGTAAAATTTACTAGTACACTTTTCAATTATAATGGAGAAATAGCTATTCAATTATAAATCAAAGGTGTAGGGTGGATCTGGTTTAGAAATATAATAATTATCCACCGGGAGAACTTATAGAATGCCGTAAAATTTCCATTAAATTTTAATTAATAACAGTTTATTGCTATCAAAGTTTTAGTCGGTGGTAATTACTAGCAAGGAATTTAGTACGGATTTGCGACTACATTGGATCTCTTAATAATCATCAGAAGAAGCTATTTTCTAACAAGAGACGAGAAATTACCTACTAGACTAAAGAAGATTAAGTTCGGACCCATTCGACACCCCTCTCGAGTTCCATACTCCAAAATTTAATAGAACGAATGCCTCTTATATACAAGTTACCATACTAAATTTGCATTTATTAATCATTACCCCCTCATTCTAATAGATACTAACACATACATATACACACATTTATGTTTATTAACTTCCTTTTCGTGGATAATAAAGTTAAATTTCGAGAACAAAATGGTACGTTTTAGTATCAAACTATGTTATAAAGGAATATATTATTATAATTTAGTAAGAATGATTAATTATAAAGATGAAGTTTAGTATAAATGAACACGAAATCATTGTTCCATTTCAGAAATCGGAATAATTTATCATATAGTCCATACTCTAACATGTTATTTTACTTCGCTCTCACACTACGGAACGAAACAGAAATGTGATGTATGCTTATAAATTTCTATAAAGAGGATTAATAGAATGACTCGACGAATTGATAGAGAAGAATTTTCGATAAAAAAGAAAAGGTACGGTCAATATATTAAAAGATTAAAGAGAAATTATAGTATAAAAAAGGCGAAAAACAAAAGAAAAGAGAGTAATAATCAAACTAATTTATGCTAAAAATTAATTTAATTAACACTTCCCAGGCTAATTAAAGTGATAGATGTTATTACATTCGATCAGATAAATGTTTTTACAGTCATTATTAACAGAGCTAAGCATTACATATTAGTTTATTTATTTCGATTGTTATACTGTAAGAAACTGGATGAAAGTAAGAGATTGGTTGAGTGGAAAGAAAAGAAAGAAAAAGTTGCACTAAAACATTACAGATCTTATCTTCTTTTAAAAAAAAAAACCCTTAATCCATTTTCCGGAGAAAACGTTGGCTGTTTCTACTTGATGATAATTCGGAGCTTGTGCCACTTTACGAATTACACAGAGTATCGATCAATGTCTTACTTCAAATGGTCCAGGAGCAACAACAGTAGTTTAATGCAGTTAAGATTAAAACTTATTTTATTCTCATTCAAAACCTCGGTAAATTAATTCGTTTCCAAAACAAAATTTCGCATCTAATTTCCATTACAATTCAAAATACCTCGGAACGACAATCGAGAAAACTAAATTAAAAATTTATGAGTTCAACTTTAACTATAATTAATTTAGTCGTATATATATATATATACGTTTGCTTCCTTATTATTATTATTATAGTTTTATGATAGAGTTTAAATAGATTTTTTACCCTTAATTTCCACGACAAAAATTGTTTACAATATTCAAAACACGTGGTGGGGTCGTAAACGGATAAACAGAACACCAAACTTTAAAGGCGCTTTACCGATGTAATTTATAAACATTTATAAATAAATATTAAATATATAATATAAGAAATCGCTCGTATATTAAATTTGACATATATTTTTTCGCTCTCGAATTAAAAACAAAGTCGAAAAAAGCTTAAGAAGGGTGTATATTGTGAAGCGATTACACGGATGTTACGGTAGAAAATCCCTGAATACTGTCATAAGACGGTGTTATTTATAAGAATTTATATCACTATTCACGTAGGATATAATCGATAATATTCAATACTCTTATGTTTTACTCTGTGACAATTTATAACAGTGATTAAAGACACTGTTAAGTAACGTTAAACGTATGATTATTATGAGTATATAAAACCCTTTAAATTTAAATAAATTCAGTATGTAAGAA